TTTTTGTCCTCATTTGCCTCCCATTTCTTGATCATCTTTTGTGTCAAATTATTTGGATAAACTCTCAAATCCACAAATCTTTGATTCTTCCTGATCAGTCTCTATCATCATCTTCTTTTTCCCCGAGTGGAAATTGGGCTCAATTTTATATTCAGAATAGCTTCCTTTGGTGATGAAAGTTTTGTTCTGATTCTGAATGCATCTTGCAGCTGTGATTAAAGTAGTATTCACTAGACTCTTTATATTGCCCACTGCTTCACTTGTCCTCGGAACATTTAATACAAATGTTTGAGGTTTCTTCAGAGTTACATTTTTCCCATTCATTCTTAAACTGGTGGGCCAATCTCGAATTGCCTCTCTTTTCATTTTTTCTTTTTCATTCTTTAGTATCAGAGAAGTATCAGGAGTTGAATCTGTCATACATACTTCATATTCCTTAATTTTGCCTTTTTTCTTTTCAATATCTCCTGCTGTATGATCTTCATTTGCCTTGACCGTGTTAATTTCATTTTGGGGTTTGAATACCGGTTGTTTAATCAAAATGGATTGACTGTTAACATCCACTCTTATGATTTTATGAACCAAAAGGTCTTGAACTTGTCTTTTGAAGTTACCGCAATTCTCGATGGAGTGTTCTGGGATTCCAGCATGATATTCACAAAAGACTTTCTCATTATACCATCTCGGGTAAGGAGGCAACAAAGGCTTAGCCTGACATGGGCCAATAAGATGGGCTTTGAGTAACTCAGGATATAACTTGCTGCATAAAACTGAAGGAAACTTGGGTAGAATTTCCCCTGACATCACTGTCACATTACAATTATTTTCTTTGCTTTCTTGAAGATCTTGTGACTTACGATCTAGATGTTTGCTTTGTTTAGCTTTCTTTAATAGTACTTAAATTTCTTCTATGTTTCTCTTCAACCTGATCTTTGTCTCATCTTCTGGGGTCATACCCAATTTTTGGAGATTTATCGAATTTCCACATTCCTTGGCAAAGTTCTGGTCATTTGTTTCCATTGCATCATCTATATTATTCATAATCCTATTCAAATCTTTCACAACAGGATCCTCTAAGGGTTTCTCTCCATGTATCACAACATTCATCAGGTTCATCAGTTTGGTCATTTGCTCTTTTGAATCATCCTGGAACTTTTTTTTGCATGATCAGTCATTTCTTATTGAGTCTTGATAAGTTGTTCTTGCAATTTCTCAATTCTACCAACCCTTGCTAAAATCTCATTCATGGCTATTATTCTTCTTTAGGAAGACAAAGTTAACTCCACTTTGATTCTTCATGGAATTCTCCACAAATTATTCCACGTTGTCATGACTAAATGCATGTAAAATAGTTTGAAATAAAATATAATTATGAAAATGTAAATGTAAATGCAAAATGTAAATGCAAATGTAAATATGTGAATGTAACAATAAAATGCAAATTGTATAGTGCAAAAGCAAATATAAAAGTATAAATGCAAAATGAAAAATGAAAGGATGCAAAATGCAAATGTATGCATGAAAAGGTGTTACTCAAGAGTGATCATCTTAGAACAGATTTCATTGAACACAAAAGTTTCAGTACATCAAACAAAACTTTACATATAGGGATATCTTTCACTTCTAACTTCTCCAAAGCCCAGTTAGTTTCCATTGAGTCTTCAGTCTGCTTTATCTCCTTGTAAAATCAGTTAAATCTATCATTTAAGGACCATATTGCTTGTCTGGACTGCAACTTCTTCCATGACATTTTCTTTCATCCTCTGTGTCATTTCTCGAAGTTGTTCATTTTCCCTTGTAAAAGAAGCTTTCTGTCCAAGAAGTTCTTGAACAAGATCCTCATATATGTTGCAGCTCTTTTTTAGCTTGGTGACCCCTGTTATCCACTCTTCTGGGGTACTTCCTAGGCCAGCATTTTGAAAGGTTTGACTGATCTTCTGAAAATCTTCATGCATGGTTTTCATTTCTGTGCTCAATTCTTATTTTTGGTCGTTCAAGTCCTTCAAATAACATGCTTGAGCTTCATAAAAACCTCCACTACTCTGAATGCCCTGACTGATACTCTTACCATAGACTGCTTTTGGTATCAATCTGGCAGAATCTTTGTAGAGTACTTTTGGTATTAATATAACCGGTTCTCTATGTACAGAACTTCCCTTGATCCTCGTAGTTTCTTCAGGATGTCTTTCCTTGGCCGCATCATATTTTGTATGATCATAAAACTTTTTGTCCATTTACAATTTCTTTCCAATTTGATGAACAGTCTTTCAAGTCAACACCTTTTGATTATGCCATGATCATGTAATGCAGACAAAAGAATATAAACAAATTAGAGCAATGTAACATGCATGAAAAAATAAGAAAACAAAAATAGAATAATTAGTATCAACTAATGGAAAAAATATATCTATCAAGGTATAAATCTTAACCTCATGCTTTCTAGTTCCATGCTTTGTTTGGAAAATTTAACCTAACCGCATGATTTCTAGTTCGCATGCATTTATTCAGGAAAAAGAAAAGGATGAAATAAAATAAATTAAAAACTAGAGCTTATTTCTCCTTTGTGTATACCTACTGGCATGGTTTCAGATCGAGAGAGTTTCTAGGGTTTATTATATGTAGGTTTTCAGTTCTAGGAGTAAAGGTACTCGAACTGTCGTTGTTGATGCCCCCTTGGGCTGTCAACCCTCAATCCTAGTCCATTACAGACTTAAGCAGATCGAGTTCAATTCGAGGGGACACATTTCTCTATGCCTGACACGGAGAATAAATTCTCACGAAGACATAGAGCATATGAACCCCGAAAGTTACTTGCTAGGTCTGACACGGAGAATAAATTCTCACGAAGACATCGCTTTCACTCCCACTCAAAAGGGACAAACTCAATTATAGAGCTTTATGTTATGCAATGCAAGTGTTGTGTGTGAGGAGAAATATTCAAACCTCTAACAGATAAATAAAATAATTAATACCTGAAAAAAATATTAATAAAATAATATAAAAATAATAAGTAATAAAAAATTTGAAAGAAAAGAATTAAAAATTAAATAAATGAATTTTTAATTTCTAATTAATAGAGACAATTTATAATTAATTTTAAAGTTTGACAGTTCCCCAGCGGAGTCGCCAAGCTGTCGTAACCGGTTTTCGTCCTGGCACGAATTTTTACTTGACAGGAAAAATAATGTGGATACAAAATAATTAAAAAAAATGGTTTGGGAGTCGCCATCGGCCTTTTGGGTCAGGTAGGTCGAATACCTAAAAATTACCTTTTAAAAGAGTTTTCTAAGAAAACATCAGTTAAAAGATAAACTGATCAACTGATCTGCGTTTAACCAAAAATTCGTTCTTTTTAGAAATAAAAAGCGATTCGTGGTCGGTTACGTTTAGGGAAGGATTAGCACCCCTACAACGCCCAAAATTGGTACTTATTAATTATAAATTGTCTCTATTATTAGAAATTTAAAAGTTTAAAAATATATTATTTATTCCATAATTCTGTTAAGTTTATTAATATAATTTTAAGATAATATATTAATATATATATTTTATTAAACAAGATATTTATTTATTTAGAAATATCAGAAAAGGGCTTCTAGATGCTTTAAGACAACTCCTTTCTTAATTTTGAATAAATTTTAATAGAAAATAATATAAAAACAGATTTATATATTAAAATATTTATTTTTTTTATTTAAAAATATCAGAAAATAGACATTCAGTTGCTTTAAGACTGTCCTTTCTTAATATTGATAAATATATATTAAAATATGATTATTTTTCTTAAAAGTAATTTATAAAATTAAATTTATAAATAGGATTTTAATAGAAATAAAATAAAATAAATAAATAAATACTACTTATTATATATTTATATGACTAACTAATAATAACATAATAATTAAAGTAATAATTTAAACTTATTGAAATTGAAATAATAATAATATAAATTAAATTGCAATTAAATAGTGACTGAAATAAAAAAAATTAAAACTATAATATCATATTCATAAATAAAATAATAACATAATTAATTAATGACTAAAATGAAATAAAATATAAATTAGCATGCAAAAAATCGAAATAAAATAAAGAAATAACATTGGTGACCAAAATAAAAAATGCGTAAACTAGAATGGTTTATGAGTGATTAACCCACTAATTTGTGATTTAAAAAAAAATGCTTAAAGTACAGGGATTTTAGCGTGATTTACCCCGCAAATTAAACTAAACTCCTTAGTGACCAAAACGCAGGACGCAGAAAACATAGGAACTTAAACATAATTTAACCTTAAAAATAGTGACCGAAATATAAAACGCGGTATAAACTAGAGTGACTTAAAAGTAAATAACCCAAAACCTAAGCTATATATATATATATATATATATATTATATATTTTTCTCTATTTGGCTAACCTAGCCACTCTTCTTCATCTTTCCTCTCAGAGAGAGAAGCTCAATCTTGTCCTTCTTCCTCTTTCATAACTGGCCGATAGCCATAAAACCCCCACACCTCGCCGTCGGCCACCGTAAATCGGTGGCCAAATACTCTTCCAATCATCCCTTACACAAAACCCGAACCTAAAATTTATCCCTAAAAAATTTTAAATCCCGATTTGGGATTTAAACTACCAAAATCCAGGCCTAACAACTCAAGCTTTATTTCCCAATGCTTCAATCGGCGTTTCTCTGACAACCTAGACTCCAAAGATGAACCCTTGGCACCGGTACAACTCACTCTTCTTTACTATTTTTTTTTAATTTATTAACCTACTGTTTTTTATTTCAAAAAAAAAAAAATACAAATCTGAAAAATAAAAACCTTTGTTGTTTTCTGATTTTTTTTCTTTGTATTGATGCTTGATCTCCTGGTTTTTTTTTACAATCTCTGTGTGTCCTCTCTCCTCTTTACACTGTAATTTTTATGGGTTATATATTAACCCATTTACATGTTTAAAACAAAAGTAATGATTGTTGTTTGTTTGGTGGTAAGCTGTAGGAGGGACAGCTGGGTTACTTGCTGAAACGTGGAGGGATAGCTGGTTTAGTGGAAGTTGTTGGAGAGCTGTTGTGGTGGAGGGGATGCTATCGTTGGTTGCTGGAAGGTGCTGGAAATGCTCGTGGAGGGGCTGCTGTCGTTGGTTGCTGGATAGGGAAGGTAAAATGGTGATTACATAAGTCACTTTCAATCTTAACATTTCAATTTTTTCCTTCAAATTAACAAGTTTCTAAAATGATAAAATATCGAACATCATAGATGATATTGAAATTTGCTAAAGTATCGACTATCTTATCATAGTAGTATCGATATTTATTTTAAAAATAATTGCTATCCATAGGTACACAATATATTAAATCCTGCCGATATAATTAAACACAACTTTAATATTTCATATTGTAACCTACTTCTTTATTCAAAATAAAATTATTGAACGCAACCTAGTATGTTAATATTTATTTATAACAAAATATGAAATTAACCTATTTTGTTATCGTCGAATTTCGAAGGCCCCATTAACTTAAACTTTAGTAACATTTTAGGCACTACCTAATATGTTGATAATATTAATAACAAAATAAGTAATTAACCTATTTTGTTATCGTCGGATTTCTAAGACCCCATCAGCTTAAATTTGGTAATATTTTAGACGCTACCTAATATGTTGATAATATTGACAATAAATTAAGTAATTAACCTATTTTGTTATGTCATATTTCTAAGGCTTCATCACCTTTAAACAAGCGCTACATATTACATTAAATAGAAGCTACATGTTATGTTATTATGGTTGATAATGTTTCTAATAATTAACCGGCTATGTTAAAGTCAATATTTTTTGACACATTTTACATACGCCGATAATATTCCTTATTTTTTCCATTATTATTACAAACACAATAATATTTCCATTGAAAACATATAACATTTTCATTAACACTTTAACCGATCAATTATTTAACCAATTATTTTAATTTTTATCTGTATTTTAACGACCTCACATCATAACCTTCCGAGTCGATCACGTTATATCTACCTTGTTTTGTTCTCCTTGCTGCATGCTGTCACTGATTACTCTGATTTCGACGTAAGGATGTTAAAGAGTTGACCTTTCGTTCTCGGTTTTTCCTTTCTAGCTGTCTCATTTTTTGAGTTTGCTTTTAACTTTTGTTTTATATTTACTGTACCTTTAAGGTGCGTTTGGTTTACGGAATGTAAGATTATCAGTGAGAATGTAAGATTACCAGGAATAGATTACTGAGAATGTTGTATTTTGTGTTTGGTTGGCTTAGCAGGAATATGTTTGGTTAAAGGAATAAAATATTATTGGAATGTATATTTAACCAAATTATTCTTATTATATATTTGTATAATATTACATGTTAGAAAATATTTATATATTTTCTTTAAAAAAATTAAATTCATAATATTTATATTTTTTTACAAAATTAAAAATATAAAAAAAGTTTAATGAAAGGATAAAATTTTATTTTAACCCCTGAACTTCATATAAAATTTTAATTATAGATTTTTTTTAAATTTAAAATAATTTAAAGATAAATTATAATTTAACATTCGTGAATTTTTATTATTCAATGATAGAAGAATAATATTTTTGAAAAAAATAAAAATTTAAGGACATTTTAATCTAAAAAGTCGTAATCTAACAATACCTAAGGAAAGGGAGGTAATGACATTGCCGATAATATACCCAAAAAATCTACTATTGATAATCTTACATTACCGAAAATAATCTTTGTAGTTTTTAGTGCGTTACACCTGCTCATCGTTTTTATTATTAATTGGGCTTATGTTTCTTTATTAAAAAAACTTTTTATATAATCCTCTATTATTTTGTTATTTTTTTCCCTCATAAATTCCTTACGTAAAACTTTTCCTATTCTTCCTATACAACCCCCTATTTCCTAATATTTTTTTACCTCATAAATTACTTACCTAAAACTTTCCTATACCTCTTTACTTTCTGTATAACCCTTTATTTTCTATTCTTTTAGCCCATAATTTTTTTATCTTTTAGATTTATCATACTCTCATTAACTAAAATAAGTATTGTTTTTTTTAATTAATAAGTATTGTTCTTTCCTCGACATTTTTATATTTCAAAATTTTCATCAGGGTCACAAGCATTGGTTAGTTTTGTGCTGCAGCAGGAAATTCCTGCTGACTTCTCATTAGTTGCCGAGGAGGTGAATCTCTGTACTTGTGAAAAATAGTTTCAGCAGCATGCATCAACCGTCTGTTTTTTTCCCCTCTTTGCATTGTAGAACTCTTCTTTCCTTCTAAATAATGTTCTGAGTTCACTTTAGGATTCTAAAGATCTCCGCAAGGATGGTGACCAGGAAATAGTTGAGCGTATTACAAAACTTGTGAATGATTCTATAACTAGTGATGGATCATACAATGTTACTTTATCCACAGAAGATGTTCTCAAGGCCATTGACAGTGGCAGATCTGAAGCTGGTTCCCAAGGTCGACACTGGGTTTTGGATCCTATAGATGGTACTAAAGGGTGAGCTCTGAAACTTATTTGACATGATTTATTTTGCTTTAGTCATAAAGAAGTGGCTGTTTGCTATAATAAAGATTCATTTCAACGAGTGCATGTTGTTTATGATATGCCTTATCCAACATTAGGTAGTGTACTTCCAATTTAACTCCTTAACTCAGCCATGATTAATGCAGGGTGATGTTTAGATTTGCTTTCCATTTTCTGTTACTTAGTGTAGAAGGACTAGCATGAACCAAGCGACCCCGGTAGCAAAGGAATTGTTGTTATTCCTTGAGCTCCCGGATTCGAGTACCAGGAATGTTAGGGGTTTGAGCGTTCAACGTCAAAGGGGATACCGTAACAGTACTATGCAACGCACAATAGTCGGGGATCATTTTATAACTTTTAATAGTTGGGGACTCAACAAACAGCACCTTATAATTGGGGGACTATTGTGTAGTTTACCCTATAATTAAATTACTGATGTTTAGCGAACTTACTCAGATTTTATGTTTCTTTTTATCTTTTCCATATTGTTTGTATTTCATTACAATTTGGTGTGAAAGAAATAGTGTAATGATATTTCATTCTCATTATATGTGCTTCTAGACCGACTTGATGAATTAGTCCACCTTATTTCATATTTTACACTTTAGGTTTCTGAGAGGAGATAAATATGCAATAGCATTGGCTTTGCTAGATGGAGGAAAAGTTGTTCTCGGTGTGCTGGCTTGTCCAAATCCCACTAACGTCCATCAGTGCCGCTGATCAGCATTCTCCAAATAATGAAGTTGGCTGCCTTTTCTTTGCTGAAGTCGGTGGTGGAACTCTACTCAATGGTTCTTCGTCAGTGAAGGTTATACTGATCTATTATAATTTATTGCTATTAATCCGAGCAGTTAATTGTAACTTGTACAATTTTGTAGGCCCAGGTGCAAGTAACTGCTGTTGAGAATCCTGAAGAAGCTTCATTCTTTGAGTCATATGAAGCAGCACACTCCATGCATGATTTATCTAGTCTGATAGCTCAAGTACTCCCCCTCCCCTATCTCTCTATCCATCTATAAAACTTTGGGATAATTTATTGAAAACGCTGAGATGTAAACAGAAACTCGGCGTCAAAGCACCACCGGTTAGAATCGATAGCCAGGCAAAGTATGGTGCTCTGTCCAGAGAAGATGGAGCCATATACCTGCGTTTTCCTCACAAAGGGTATCGGGAGAAAATATGGGATCATGCCGCTGGGTGTATTGTTTGACTGGTATGGAGCCATATTCATGAATTGCAGAAGTGGGTGGCGCGTCACAGATGCTGCAGGGAAGCCGTTGGATTTTTCGAGGGGAAAGTATCTTGATCTGGACACGGATCATTGTGACCAATCAGAAGTTGATGCCATTGCAATTTAATGCAGTTAGAGAATCCATCAAGGAGAAAGCTGCATCCTTGTGATTCCTTTTAGAAGCTGGCTTTCATCCTTACAATTTGCTGTGTTAAGCTTGTTGAAACTTGATTACTTTTGCCTGCATTCTGTGCTTGAATGTTTTATCATTTCTCTCACATTTACATTTAGCATGCATGAACAAGAATGGGATCAATAAATCACATATCAAGGAATTGAAAACATGCAGCGCGTTGTTCTATTTAAAGATTTGTGGTTATTGTTGTGGAATTCAGGTTAATTTCCACTAATAATAATAAATTCACCTTGAAAACTATTATCTAGGTGACTAGTGTGAAAACGATTGTACTAAAAATCACACCAAGGTAGATTCCCAGGAAAGAAGAGGGGTCACAATGGTCCCTCTTAAAACCCACTTTCCTTAGACAGAACTAACAAGACAAATAATTTTAATAGGACAATAATTAACAACTATACCCGACAATAGCTATTAAATAGACATAAATAGAACACCAAAATTTAACGAGGTTAGGCCAAAATTATGTCTACCTCCTCGAACACTACTAAAATAATATTTCACTAGTAGAGGAAATATTAAAAAGAGAGAAAGAGTACAAATAGCCTTTAATAGTGAAAAAGACTTATATTTGTGGGATGCTAAACTAAGGAGGGGAGGGCTCTATTTATAACAAAAGAATTTCCCCTCCTCCTTATACAAAACCAATGTGGGATATTTGCCAAAAACCAACAAATCTCCACCTTGGCAAATTCCCCACACGTCTCTAAAAAAATCCAATCTTCAGTAGTGTCTGCAAATTCATCTTTCAATTTGTAACAGTATTGACCAAGTCTAAACAATGTTTAAACTTGACCGCAGTTACCACTTTTGTCAACATATCAGCAGGATTCTCAGTGGTCCGAATCTTCTGGATTATGACTCCACCTTCTTCTAGAATCTCTCGTACAAAGTGATATCGAACATCGATGTGCTTCGTCCTTGCATGGTAAACTTGGTTCTTTGCTAAATGAATAGCACTCTGACTGTCACAGTGCACTTTGATGTGATTTTGTTCCATTCCCAATTCACCAAGCAACCCTTGAAGCCAAATTGCCTCCTTCACAGCCTCTGTAACTGCCATATACTCTACCTCTGTAGTAGACAAAGCCACTGTTGACTGTAAGGTGGACTTCCAACTGACTGGTGCCTTTGCAAATGTAAACACATAACCAGTAGTTGATCGACGCTTGTCTAAATCACCTGCATAGTCTGAATCACAATACCCAACTACACACTAACCATCTTGTTTGTCCTGCTGAAAGACCAAACCAACATCTACGGTGTTCAGAATATACCGCAGAATCCATTTCGCAGCTTGCCAATGCTCCTTTCCAGGATCATGCATATCCTGCTCACAACCCCAACTGCCTATGAAATATCGGGTCTCGTACACACCATTGCATACATCAAGCTACCAACAACACTTGCATACGAAACCTTTGACATGTATTCCCGTTTTGCATCATCCTTAGGTGACATGGATGTACCGAGCTTGAAATGAGGAGCAAGAGGTGTACTAACTGGTTTTGACTTCTCATCCATGCCAAAACGTTTTAGTACATTCCTTAGATATTCTTTCTGAGACAAACAAAGCCTCCCCAATTTATTATCCCTTGATATCTCCATGCCTAGAATCTTCTTCGCTTCACCAAGATCCTTCATCTCAAACTCTCTGTTCAATTGATTCTGTAGTTTCACAATTTCTGTCTGACTCTTGGAAGCTATCAGTATATCATCAACATAAAGAAGAAGATATATATATGATCCGTCTTGTAGCTTGCGTAAATACACACAATGAACATATTTGCTTCTTGTATACTTCTGCCCTATCATAAACTTGTCAAATCGCTTGTACCACTGCCTTGGAGATTGCTTCAATCCGTATAACGATTTTTCCAATTTGCACACCATCTCTTCTTTTTCAGCAACTTTGAATCCATCTGGCTGAGTCATGTAGATTTCCTCATCCAAGTCTCCATGTAAAAATGCAGTTTTTACATCCATCTAAACTAGTTCCAAATCCAACATTGCTACCAAAGCCAACAAAATTTGATGGAGGAATGTTTTACAACTAGAGAAAATACTTCATTATAATCAACTCCCTTCGTTTGAGCGTAGCCTTTAGTCACCAATCTTGCTTTGTAGCGGATGTTATTCTTGTCAGGAAATCCATCTTTCTTTGCATATACCCACTTGCACCCAATTGCCTTCTTTCCTTTCGGAAGACTAGCTAGTTTCCACGTCTGATTCTTTTGAAGGGATTTCATTTCTTCATTCATGGCGATCCTCCACTTTTTATGTTCTGAACTTTGGACTGCTTCATTAAAAGTGGTAGGAACGTCATCAATTGTAATTGGTGATGCAAAAGAGACCATATCAGCATAACGAACAGGTTGTCTAATGGTCCTCTTTCCCTTTCTGAGTGCAATTGATTCATGTTGCTGTGGAGGTTCTTGGGTCTGAACCTCTTCTTCTACCATAGGAGAGTCAACATCAGTTTCTTTACTGGCTGGATCAATTCTGCTTCCTTCAAACTCCACCTATTTGGGAGTTCCATCTGTCTGCTCCAATTTTTCTGAAGTCACCTTTCTCAACATGGTAGATTCATCAAAGATAACATCCCTGCTGAAGATTATTTTCTTTTTTCTAGACACCAAAGACGATAGCCTTTCACACCAGAGGTGATCCCCATAAAGATCGCCTTCTTTGCTCTTGGATCCAGCTTTGACTCCTTAACATGGTAGTATGCAGTGGAACCAAACACATATAAGGAATCATAATCTGTAGCAGGTACTCCAAACCATTTCTCTAATGGTGTTTTACCACCAATAGCAATCGATGGTAAGCGGTTGACAAGGTGACAAGCATATACCAAAGCCTCAGCCCAAAATTCTTTGCCTAACAGCATTAGACAACATACACCGAACCTTCTCCACTAATGTTCGGTTCATACGCTCTGCCACCCCATTCTATTATGGTGTACTTCTGACAGTGAAGTGCCTAACAATACCTTCTTCTTCATAGATTTTCAGAAATGGATCATTTTTGTACTCTCACCATTGTCTGTACGGAGACGTTTGATTTTTCTGCCTGTTTGAGTCTCCACCATCTTTTTCCATTTAAGGAAAAATCCTAGCACCTCATCCTTTGTCTTCATTGTATACACCCAAACTCTCCGGGAAAAATCATCAACAAAGGTGACATAATAATGTGTTTCTCCCAATGAAGTTGTCTTGGAAGGCCCCCATACATCTGAATGAACATAATCCAAAATACCTTTAGTATCATGGATTGCTGTTCCAAATTTCACCCTCGTCTTCTTCCCTTTGATGCAATGCTCACAAAAAGCTAATTTGCAAGCCCGAGCACCTTTCAATAATCCTTGATCTATCAGCAATTTCAAGGATTTTTCACCAACATTCCCCAAACGCATATGCCATAACCTGGTTACTTCTGACTCTGTTTATCAGTAGAAGCTACCACTCCTGTTGTCCCAACAATTGTACTACCTAGAAAGTAATACACATTGTTTCTTTTCCGGATTCCCTTCATTATCACCAGTGCACCAGAGATAATACTCATAATCCCATCTTTTGCCCTCACTTCTAAACCTTTTGACTCTAAGGTTCCCACAGAGATGAAATTTCTCATTAAATCTGGTACATAATGGATACCTGTTAAGGTTCTGATTGATCCATCCTGATTCCTCAAGCGAATTGAACCAATCCCAAGTGTGTCAAGAGGGGAATTATTTGTTGTGTAGACAATTCCACCTTTTAGTTCTTTAAAATCAAAGAATCATTCTCTATTGGGGGTCATATAGTGGCTATAAGCTGAATCTAACAGCCATGAACTGGAACAGCTGGTTGATGGCGTAGCAGCGAATGCGAAATATGAATCTGCATCATTATACTCGACCATATTTGATTCTGAGACAACCTTTCCCCTTTCAAGTTTGCCTTTGTTTTTTAGCCTGGGACATTCTTTCTTCCAGTGCCCTTTTTCTCGACAAAAGGCACATTCATCTTTGCTCAATCTGGACTTTGACTTTGATCTCCCTCTCCTTCCTTTATTCTGACTCTTCGAACGACCTCTAACAACAAGAGCTTTGCTTCGACACTTGTGTTTTCTTGTTTGTCTTTCTTTCTCAATTCATAACTATACAAGGCAGCAGTTACATCACTGAGAGACAGATCAACTTTCCCATGAAGTAGAGTAGTTTCAAGATACTCAAACTCATCAGGAAGTGATCCCATCAACATCAGAGCCATATCTTCGTCTTCAAAAGTCACTTCCATATTCATCAGATAAGTCACCAGCTGATTA